GTTGATTAGATAATTGCATTAATGAGAAATTGAACAGGTGTTCCTAATAATCCTTTAGGTGAGTGTATATTGGGCATACAACACTAAATCAAAGTTTATATGAAATAGGGAAACATGAAATTGATAATTGCGATAAATGTGGATATCCAGAAACAATTAATCATATATTATGTGAACGTACAGTAGCATACAATAGTGAACGACATAAATTAGTTGTCACTAAAGGAAAGGACTGTAAGCAATTATGCACTTCAGGAAATATTAGGAGGAGAAAATTATAGAATTCGTAAGGATTCATTTACATTTTGAATGATACAGTACTGATAAATAAGATTTATTCATATATATATATATATATATATATATATAACTAGAAACTATTGTCACCATATTAAGAATAAGGCATACTAAATTAAATGGCACTCTTCATTTAATGGGGAAACATTCAACTGGGTTTTGTGATCAGTGCCAAATACCTGAGACTGTAGAACATGTGCTTATTAATTGTTCAAAATATGAATTGCAGAGGATAGATATGATAACAGACATGGAAAAAATAGGACCAATAGGACATGGAGTAAAGAGTATAATGGACTGCAGTAGGAGTTAAATATTGTATTTGTTTTCTGACTAAAACGGGACTAATGACAAGAATATGATGACCAAAGTATATGGGAAATAACTAGAACCAGAAGATGGCAGTAATGCAACGTCAAGGATGCAAGCTCCCGTTAAAACCCAAAGAAGAAGAAGAAGAAGAAGAAGAAGAAAGACATGTTGCAAATGAGCTCTGTAGTAAATTGTTAAAATATAACAGATTAAGTCCATTTTGATCAATATCGGTGGATGACATGTTTTAATAATAATAATAATTCATTACATTTATATAGCGCTTTTCTAGGCACTCAAAGCGCTTTACATAGAAGGCGGGGATCTCCTCAACCACCACCAATGTGCAGCTCCACCTGGATGATGCGACGGCAGCCATATTGCGCCAGAACGCCCACCACACACCAGCTTACTGGTGGAGAGGAGACATAGTGATGAAGCCAATTGGTATGTATATATATATATATATATATATATATATATATATATGGGGATGATCACGAGGCCATGATGGACAGAGGCCACTGGGCAAATTTGGCCAGGATGCCGGGGTTACAGCCCTACTCTTTCGAAAGACATCCTGGGATTTTTTATGATCACAGAGAGTCAGGACCTCGGTTTAACGTCTCATCCGAAGGACGGTTTTAATGCTGTATTGAGTCACTTGGTGAGTTTGAATGTCGTATTTATGTTGTTTAAAGTTGCTGCCTGTGCACCATTTTAAATGGCTGGTTTCTTTGGCAAAATCAACTGCATGATAGTTTATAAGAATAATCCATTCTTTTAATTGTATTAAGAATATTACCAAAGTATATATTGCCTTTTTATGTCTAAAAATGTCTTGTGTACTTTAAATGGTTGCTCAGATGCATAAATAGGGCTAGAGGTTAATTTTGTCTCTTCTCACAGAGACCACAGAACAGAGAGTGTGTGTTGTGATGTGTTTGTCGGGTCATCCTACATTTATAATGAATTTACTGAGGCTTAATTTTCTTACAGTGTTGTTCATCATTATGCACTAAGTAAACTGTATGAACCACTAAGTAAAGACAGGTGTCAGTATTGAGCATTAAACACTGAGCACAAGCGCTGCTCTTTAGCACAATGTTAGAACAGAACAGAGACAACTCTAAATGTCCGACATAACTGAACATTAAACATTTACATAAACCATCATCTTTCCCTTTAATGAAAAACAAATTAAAAACAAATAAAATAGCACTTAATCCTAAATGTATTCTCCTAATGCAGGCCTTTGCAAAGCATGCTGGGAACTACCGATCCAGTGCCCAGGGCTGCGCTTCTCAAAAGCATTGTGAGCTAAGTTGATCTTAGACACCATTGGTGACAAAGGCTCTACAATTAGGCTTACGATGCTTTAGGGAAGCTCAGCATGGAAATATTAGGTGGATTGAACATGTGATGGAAATAAACTGTAATACATAACTGAGTATAATATGGCATTTAATATTATTTTAACTGTATATGAAACTAACCATGTTTCTAACATCTAACCTTATTTAACACGCTAAGACTTTGAAACTCCATGTACTAAAACGTTCTGTTCTATGTTTTTGAATGTTGTAGGCCTATGTAAAAATAACAAATATGGGAAATGAAACTAGGCAGATGTCTAGGTTTGAAAACTTGAGATTATGAAGTAATGAAGAAAACAGAGTTTGCTCTTATCTAGTAACAGAAGGGTTTGCATAAGAACAATGTGTGTTGTGAAAAGCGCTATACAAATTAGAGTCTATTTCCTGAATTAAAGACACAATACAAAGTATTGTATGCAGAGCCACTAACAGAATAATAAAAAAAATGCAGCAACAAATAAAGTTAGGCCCCTGGCCCATGAATTGAATAGTTTTTATTTAGGTATTAACTTATGCTACCTAAATCAGTCAATTCAACATATGCAATTCAATTCATTATATGCAAATCAATTTCTACTGATAATATGCATCTATTGTGAGAATCTTTTGAGATAAAAAAAAAAGTTAAACACACCATGAACACACTAGAAGTGGTCTGCCAGAGGAAGCGTGGGAGGTTAAGCCTTAAGCATGTATTTAATTAAATATTCCATTGAAATATACGCATTTATTTAAATGTTCTTTCATACACAAGAGCTCAAGCAAGTTTTAATCATGCATGGTTGTTAGAGGATTGTCCTCCTATCACATATGTAACCAATCATCATCAAAGACAACCATATGAGCCCATCAGCTTTCAGAATCACATGTGCGTCTGCTAGTTGTTAAGACAACTTAAGACAGATACAAAGAAATACTGTGAAACTTAAAAAATTTTTATTATGGACTACTGGTTTAATAGAGGCATTGGTTTTGTTTTGGATATGTTTAGAAGGGACGACTGGAATACAAAGAATTTTTACAATTTTCCACAACAAGCAAATATAACTCTACAGGAACTGCCTATCTCTGTATGCTCTCAAACTATTTACTAAATATTTGCATATACTGTATATGCATAATTTGCTATAAACTTAATATAGGCCTATTGTTTATAAATGTGTGACAAAAATGGGTTTTATATTGTGACCAACCAATCGAAAAAATGCCACTTATAAAGAATGCAAACTTAATCAACTTATTCCAACAAATCATATCTAGACTTAAATGACTGAGGTCAACAAAATAAACATCAATCTTCAACTCAGTGTAAGTTAAAACTAAGGAAAACTGAAAAGAAACTTAAACAAGACATTTTATGCTTACAATTCAGCTAATCAAAGTAAATATAACAACAAAAAAAACATAATAATAATACAAAACAGCCAATGTTGATAATATAGATACAAACAAATCAAAATCAAGTTCCGTTCCCTTCACCCCCCTTTTTCCTAGTTAGTATCGTTGGGCAAAACTGATTTTATATAGAATAAGTTGATAATATGAATGGACTATTTTTAGAAAACAACATTGTCAAAAATTTACTGTTTTTGTTTAAAAAAAAAAAAAAAAAAATTTGTTCCAAATAAGGCAGAAAAGTAGTTTTTTAATGATTCACCATTTCTTAGACGAAACAGGTGAGTGAATGATTCAATGACTCGTTCTTAAAGTCAGTGGACACTTGCTTCTTTCATGAATGAATCAGCCCGTTTGAATGAATTGGTTGAATGAATAATTCTATGATTCACTTATTACAACTTGCCGCTTTTAGTTTCATATATAATAGTATAATTTCATTTTTCCCAACATATCATATTTCTATTTTCAAATTGTTTTTTTTTTTAACATTAATCTCATTACATTATTTAGGCAATTGTAATTGCAGTATAAATGGATTTTGATCAATGTTAAGATTGTATGAACAGCCATATAGTGTTAAATAGTGTAATTCATTAAGAGATGATCAACAATAACTTTACTTTTTATACATAATTAGAAGAGGGGTGCCTAAGAGGGGCATTCAAACCTCGCTTTGACAGTCAATAATCTTGAATCAGTATGAATCGCTAATGTTTTATTATTTTATTGAATGTAATTGTGAGCTTTGCAATGTAAGCAAGAACAATTTAAGCTTGTCCTCTTTAAAAATGCGGTTAAACTAAATGTACGAAGCTTAAATAAAAAATTACAACAACGGAAAAAGAGTGCATTAGTGAGTGCACTGTAATTCATTACTATAGCCACATTGGACTCCCGCCACATTCTCGGTAGAACGAAAAAAAAAAAAAAAAATTTTAAAATGTTAACCAGTACCACAATTTTTTTTTTTTTTACTGGCACTTCTCTATTCATACTATTTGAATCCCTCATTTCTTTAATCAGACCTTTCACTTTCCCTTCCTTGCTTTTGCCCTTCTTAAAAAAGCATTCAAACGATCTTGCGTGGACTTTCTTTTCAACATTAGAAATAAAACAATTGCTCTTGGCAAAAGGGATAGGTAGTATTGTTTTCATAGCATAGAGTCAAACACGACAATTTATGAGATTAATATCACGTTTTGCTCCAAAATCTCTATATACATGTCAGTCATGTTTGAAATAACTTGCTTCTTAACACAGAGTGAGACAGAAAATATATTATTTTATAAAATGATATACTATGATACAGGCTATGTTGATTAGCGTTGCATTATACATAATTCTTATGAAAATACCTGAGATGGCTTGAAGAACACAGATATATCACCGCAATCGTGTGTTTATTGTCTTTGTTTCATTAGTCAAAACGTCGCTATCTGCATGTTATTCAGCCGTTGTGATATCCAATGTCCATTTTTTCTGTCTTTTTAGTGTAGTTGGTTAAACCTCTGTCGGTATTTCATGTAAGTCTGACAGTGAGTGTGTCTTCTGTCTGCATCGTGTGTGTTAAACTCTCTAAACTGTATATAAACGCTGAATAAAAGTTAATATTGTGTGCTATATCATCTATATAAGACATCACAATGGAAACCAAAGCTTCCAAAGCACAGACATAAACACAATAATAGTTATTATGTAAAGAACCAAGAAGGTCACATGTATGATTCTTGCCACTCTGGTCCAGGACAGCTTCTTTCGTTGGTTTGGTGGAGTTACAGCCCAACACTCAGTGAGGATCTGCTTCAGGCGGTTTAGGGTAAAAGACTCTTCATTCTGATCTCTAACTGAGTCTGGAGGGCTCTTCTGGTCTCTTTCACCGTCTGTGAGAGGGAAAAATGCAAAGCACAGGTCCGGATTAATTCTGTTTTGTCTGCATAATTATATATACGATTTTTTTTATGGGGAATCTTTGCTGATACTCCGTTATAGAAAAATAAATGAATTTCACATGTGGTTTTGGGGTGGCTTGTTTAATATGTGATTCCATGGTTTTATATTTGCTAATTTCAGACTTCAAATGCTATTTTCATCCATCCATTATCCAAACCGAGTCTTTACTCAAAGATTAATTTTATCTGCATTTCTTTGCAAAAGTAAAATCGTAAACTTAATTTCACAACTAAACCTTAATTTGTGAAGTAAAAGTATCAAATACATGAAAATGTTCCTCATAATCAGATGCTGTGTCGACTCTTACCATCTCGGCCACTAACAGTAGATGTTGTTTCCGCTGATCTCTTCTCAGCTCCTCTAGCCATCAGACAATTCACAAGGAAGGTTTCCAGGATGCCAATGCCAATTAGACAGAAAACCGCACAGCAGTAACTCGCTGTGAAAAACAGGAAACTATGACCATTCTTGTAGTTTGTGTGTCTGTAATGCTGTAGATGAAAACCTTTTGTGCACTAAATATTTTTAAAATCCTGCATAATATTTGATTACCACAACACTATTATGAACAACATAAAATGACTTTTTTTTCCCTCCATTTTAATTATAACATTAGATTGAATGATCAGTGATTCAGCCCAGTTCATGATGATTATGTGATCATCACTAACTAGCCAACATCACCATATCACATTTGGTCTTGATTTTCTTTGCCATAACTAATGTGCTTTAAAAACATTTTAGAAATTCAAGGGTCAAGAGACTAACTGATCAAACACTGATCTCCATCATGGTGACTTCAAACAAAACCATTTTCAATCAAATAAAAATGACTGAAATAAAGGCAATCTGGGTTGTGTTTTACAAAAGCATCGTAAGCCTAAGTTTATCGTAGAGACCATTGTTGGCAATTGGTTTTATGTTCAACTTAGGCTTATGATGCTTTTAAAAAACGCAGCCCTGGTTAGTAATAAGTGAAGCTGGTAATGCTGTTTGTGGAGTTGTTTAATCCTCCTCTGCTAAGATCTTGAGAAATGTAATGTCTTATATCTTCAGTCGATTTCATCGAATGCCCAGTACACATTGTACGATTTTGGCCTGTCCCAGACGAAGGATGGCCAATCGTGGCGATTTCTGTGGTCGTGGCTCCTAAACAGTGGTCCTACATCGTACAGTGAGAGAGGTTCAAAGACGGCCGCTGTCACAGTCTTGAGACCAAAGATAGCCTGCAATGATTTTCTGACAGTGTCCAGAGATTTAGCCTGATCATATCACAGTGTGTTTGCTGTTAAGACCTACATCTACTGACTAGCCAATAAAAACGCAACATGAAATGGCAAATTGATCAACACAACATGACGCTAAAACTTAAAACTACTGACCTCAAGCTCCATTTGCAAGATTTGCATGGCAAGTTCACCTCTTTTCCCTAGCCATGACCCCATCCATATTCTAATCTTTCGCTTCCCCATCATTTTTTCAGCGCACATAAAAACCAGAATTGCCCAATTGCGATTCATCTTGCTCTATTTGTTTACCACTAGCGCATGCTGATGACGTTTTATTCTTCTATACTGTCTTGCATCATAGCCAACGATTGAATAGGTGTCATCATCGTACAGTCTACATACGTCGTACCCAAGTTTTTAGATCCATGTCGTACATTAGAGTGCATGTGATTTGTAATGATCTTATAGGATTGCCGAAATCAGATAGTCTGTAGCAGGGACAAGGTTGTGGCTTGCAGTTTCTGTTCTTGTTGTTTCTCTTTCCTTTCTGCTTGTTAACAGCAGGTGTTCATCATTAACCCAGCTAACAGATTTTTGTTACAAAAACGTTCTCCAAACATTCAGTGTTGGTTCTGGGAACATAAAAAAATGTCCAGTTTTCTTGACCTTAGAAGAACGTGTTTGAGAATTAAATCCTTTAATTCTCAACTATATTTCAGTTTAAGAGAATATTCTAAGTTTAATGCATATTGTTTGATTGTTGTGACTTCATTTGCGATTCAATTACAGGATTGCGTTCTTAAAAATGAGCCTAAATTAAGTAATATTAAATAATCAGGTCTATGTTAGACTCACCAATCAGAGGGATGTTTTCAGCCGTAGAGGGAAGTGTGCTATAAAGAATCAGTAACATCACAGAAATAGACAGCAGTAAAGTCACTTTAAAGCTCACTTTGTCTGCTCCACTTGTGTCAATGAAGGAGGCGATCACATCCAGCACAAGGAAGAAAAATACAGGTATTATAATGTTTATTACATACAGTAGAGGTCTCCTTTTTATCGTGATCTGCCATGAAAAGAGAGAGAGAGAGAGAGAGAGAGAGAGAGAGAGAGAGTAACATTAGAATCATGATGGACTTTAAAGGGATAGTTCACTTTGAAATACATTTTTGATATGTTTTAGCTTACCTCAAGGGCATCCAAGATGTAGGTGTCTTTGTTTCTGCAGTAGTTTCAATTTTGATATTTTTAGGTCAAACCGTTCTTGTCTGTCAGTCATATAATGCAGGTCTATGGTCACCACCTCAAAGAGCATGCACAGAGAAGTCCAAATTAAACATGATTTAATGACTCGTAAATGTAAGTACACATTGATGGCCTAAGACACGAAACGAGCGGTTTGTGTGAGAAAACGAACAGTTTTTATATTGTTTTTACCTCTTGTAATCACAGTCACATCCAAGTACTCTGAGGGCGCGGGCGCTTCTGTCTGCGCAAGCGCCGGAAAGCCCCGGAACGTTGTCTGTTGATATACAGGAAATCGCAATGGAAGATGATTTCGGCATATCTAAATATGTTTAGATCTTCACAGTGAAAGGTAAAACTTCCGAAATCTCTGTGTAAACAATGAGTGACGTACATGCGCGAGAGATCACTTCCGGGGCTTTCCGGCGCTTGCGCAGACAGAGGCGCCCGCGCCCTCAGAGTACTTGGACGTGACTGTGATTACAAGAGGTAAAAACGATATAAAAACTGTTCGTTTTCTCACAAAAACCACTCGTTTCGTGTCTTAGGCCATCACGAGTCTTTAAATCATGTTTAATTTGGACTTCTCTGTGCATGCTCTTTGAGGTTGACCCCATATACCTGCATTATATGACTGACAGACATAAAACGGTTTGACCTAAAAATTTCAAAATTGAAAATACTGTGGAAACAAAGACACCTACATCTTGGATGCCCTTGAGGTAAGCTAAAACATATCAAAAATTAATTTCAAAGTGAACTATCCCTTTAACATTGAGAACACTAAGAGACATACATTTACATTTATGCATTTGGCAGAAGCTTTTATTTAAAGCGACTTAGAGTGTGCGGGGGACTTGGAGGGGACAATTCACCTGGAGCAACATGGAGTAAACTCGGTTTAAACCAGTTCAACCAGTTCAACTCATATGGTGATATATGAACTTAATTGGTCATATTGCCTATCATTAAATATAAAATTAATTATTAATTGTAATGGCGACAAAGATTCATGTTTGATTAGAACTAAATTTTTCATTTTTATGATAACACTTTACAATAAGGTCATTTGTTAACATTAATTAATGTATTGAAATGAACTAACAATGAGCAATTCACTTATTACAGTTTTTATGAATCTTTGTTCATGTTAGTTAATAAAAAAAATCAGCTGTTCATTGTTAGTTCATGTTAGATCACAGTGCATTAAGTAATGTTAACAACATTTATACAACTTTTGATTTTAATAATGTATTAGTAAATGTGGAAATTAACATTCTCCAATATTAATGTATGTATAATTGCAGTTCTTTCTTTGTTCATGTTAACTAAATGTGTTAACTAATGAAACATTATTGTAAAGAGCTACCCATTTTATCTTTTATTTTACATTTTCAAACTCAACATGTAAATCTCTTGTTAATCTGTGGGTGGTACTGAAGGAGAACACTTGGTTTCCCCACTGTGGAGGATAATTTTGCAGAGGTCATAGTGTCATCTCATCACAAAAAGATTGAGTATTGTACACACTGCCAATTCTCAACTTAAATGCAGGATATGTTTTGCCATATTTGTCTTGTTTTTAAAGCACATCTTTGGATTAACAAAAGCAACATTCCTTTTCTAGCAGTGCTTCGTCACTGAATGATCCACATGTTTTGAACAAATCGTCAATGATTCAGTGACCCATTTATAAAGACAGAGGCTGTGTTTGAAATTGCCCTCTATACCCTCATTCACTATTCCCTACATTACTCTACTAATATAGTCCACTTGAAGGAGTGAACGAAAACGAATGAGTGAATTCAGACACTGAGTGCCCAAGAAGGACTGCCGCGTCTGCATAGTTTGTGTTTGCTGTTTGATAATCATTTGAAACTGGCAGCTCCAGTAGTAATGAAAGTATTTATCTTGAACTCTGTCATGGAAACTATCATGTGTAAACCTTAATTTAACAATTTAATAATCAATTAAAAAGGAATTTATAGCTGTATGATATTACACTGTAGCCTGTACAGCTGTGGGCGCCATCTTCTGGTCAGACCCGGGAATTCATTCGGCCCGTGACTCTCATAGTGCATTATGGGTATTCTCTAGACATTGAGTGCTGCGTTCCAGTCCACTTTTAGACACGCACTTGTGAACTTCTCATAATTATTGAAGAAAAAAAAAAATTGTATGGGGAAAATAAATAAATAAATCAACCCCACAGTGGATTCTACGTTATCAAGGGCTTATCGTTCCAAATCAGCCTATTGCAAAGGTTCCGCCAGTGGTGGGCACTCATGCAATGTAAGCAATGACGTACATCCGAGTGAACGAGACGGAGGGAAGTTAGCGAGTGAAGAGCATGATAATTTTGTACTGGAACGCAGCCTACATCATTTGTACACTTGTTATTGCGGTGCATTGTGGGATTTAATGAGTGCAGTCGAAAAAGTCCACTATGATTTCGGACCACCACAAATGGCTGTCCCCTCAAATAGTGCTCTATTTAAGGGTATAGGGGGAGATTTCAGACACAGCCAGACACTTGCTTTTCCTGAACGAATCAGCTGTTTGAACGAAATTAATGACTGGATGACTCATTAAGACTTGCCGTCACCTACTGGCAGTTTTAGTTTAGTGTTAGATGATTAAATAAACACACACTAAAAATGTGTGTATATATATATATATATATATATATATATATATATATATACACTCACCGGCCACTTTATTAGGTACACCTGTCCAACTGCTCGTTAACACTTAATTTCTAAGCAGCCAATCACATGGCGGCAACTCAGTGCATTTAGGCATGTAGACATGGTCAAGACAATCTCCTGCAGTTCAAACCGAGCATCAGTATGGGGAAGAAAGGTGATTTGAGTGACTTTGAACGTGGCATGATTGTTGGTGCCAGAAGGGCTGGTCTGAGTATTTCAGAAACTGCTAATCTACTGGGATTTTCACGCACAACCATCTCTAGGGTTTACAGAGAATGGTCCGAAAAAGAAAAAACATCCAGTGAGCTGTAGTTCTGTGGGCGGAAATGCCTTGTTGATGCCAGAGGTCAGAGGAGAATGGCCAGACTGGATCGAGCTGATAGAAGGGCAACAGTGACTGAAATAACCACTCGTTACAACCGAGGTATGCAGCAAAGCATTTGTGAAGCCACAACACGCACAACCTTGAGGCGGATGGGCTACAACAGCAGAAGACTCCACCGGGTACCACTCATCTCCACTACAAATAGGAAAAAGAGGCTACAATTTGCAAGAGCTCACCAAAATTGAACAGTTGAAGACTGGAAAAATGTTGCCTGGTCTGATGAGTCTCGATTTCTGTTGAGACATTCAGATGTTAGAGTCAGAATTTGGCGTAAACAGAATGAGAACATGGAACCATCATGCCTTGTTACCACTGTGCAGGCTGGTGGTGGTGGTGTAATGGTGTGGGGGATGTTTTCCTGGCACACTTTAGGCCCCTTAGTGCCAATTGGGCATCGTTTAAATGCCACGGCCTACCTGAGCATTGTTTCTGACCATGTCCATCCCTTTATGGCCACCATGTACCCATCCTCTGATGGCTACTTCCACCATGTCACAAAGCTCTAATCATTTCAAATTGGTTTCTTGAACATGACAATGAGTTCACTGTACTAAAATGGCCTCCACAGTCACCAGATCTCAACCCAATAGAGCATCTTTGGGATGTGGTGGAACGGGAGATTCGCATCATGGATGTGCAGCCGACAAATCTGCGGCAACTGTGTGATGCCATCATGTCAATATGGACCAAACTCCCTGAGGAATGCTTCCAGCACCTTGTTGAATCTATGCCACGAAGAATTGAGGCAGTTCTGAAGGCAAAAGGGGGTCCAACCCGTTACTAGCATGGGGTACCTAATAAAGTGGCCGGTGAGTGTATATATACACACACACACACAGACAAATCGACCCTGACGCACTTTCTGCGTATCTTGATTCATTGATGTCTCATCCAATCAGCTGTATTCCATTTGCAAAATATACCAACCTTTTCCGTTTTTAATGACTTGTCATTGTGTTATTTTGTTTTTAGTCTTGTTATTGTAGGTTTAGTATAGCCAATGTGTTTACAATTTGTTGTTTTGTTTTTGGATTAATTTTGTTTTCATTATTGTGGTATGTTTTTCCACTTCTCGGAAACCATTAAGATTGAATATCCTTAAAATATTTTTATCAATATGAATGAAAAGGATTCAAACATATTTGGCTGAATGCTGTAAAAGGGTCTATTAATGAATAATTTAATGCTGATAGACGTACACACACCTGCAGCTTCCATGCAACATCTGTGCACCTTCTGGTGTGTACTCTCTTAATTTATAAGATATTTGATACCCCTGCCTTTTTAAAGAGTTAAAAATTGAATAATTTAATTTTAATTTAATTTTGGCACTAGTTGTTCTTTTTTCTTTTTTTTTAAAATTGTATTTATATATTCAATATTGGTTTACATTCCTTACCCAGTACTCTGTACCTGATATATCAGCTGATTTATTTCAGACTCTCCAATATCATCACCAATGGTAGAACTAGTACTATTTATACTAATGAAATCCCACTCTCCCTGGGCCTGAAAGACCTCCTTCGACTTGAAGGTCGCCCACTCTGCATCAGATAATGTATCAAGTATAATCTCCTGATCTGTGGGAACAAACATTAAAATTGTATTATTTTATATTGAAATTAAATAGTTTAGAAGAACGAGCCATGTTATATTTTACATGGCTTTATTCGTCAAAACTGATTCATGTGTTTCAGATGTACCTGAATACACTGTAGACTGAAGTGTTATGTTGCAGATTTGGGTGTCGAAGGGAAACCTGTAGAGATCCATCTTGCAGGCCGTGGTCAGAGCTAAAACATCAGTTGATACTGTAAATCCTTCACTGCGCAACTGCACATATGGAGACTCCTTTGTTCCAAAATCTGTCTTGATGCTAAATGGATAAAATATAAATTAACTCTCCTCCTTGACTCAGACACAGACATCAACATCAACAATCACCGTATGAATCTCAACAATGGTGAAAATCAAAAGTTTCTTATCGCAATGCATGCTGGGTAGTATAAAACACAGCATGCACTGCAGTATGAATAAAAAAAATATTGCCACTATTGTTGAGATTAATGTGCTAACTTTTGATATCTCTGTGTTTATATAAGACAGTGTAGCTCTGGTTTTTTTTTGGGTTGTGCATCTGTTAAAAAAAAATTCATTGTAACTCATTGCTGTATTTTCACAGTGGTGGTAATGTAACACTTTTGATATAGGATTAAACTCTGAATGAGATTAGTAAATTAACAGACTTTATGATGATTTTGTCATCATAATCAATATAACCGCAATCATTCACAAACTGTGTGTGTGCTATCTAGAGGATGGATACCCGAACCGAGCCCGACGGGACCCGACGGGCCGGGCCGGGCCGGGCCGGGTTCGGACACATATTTTGAAATGACGTTCGGGTTCGGGTCGGGCTCGGTCACATCGGCGCGATAAGGCATTGAACATTTGAAATTTAAAGGTTCCCTGACATGAAATTTTCACTTTCTGAGGTTTTTTAACATTAATATTAGTTCCCCTAGCCTGTATTTGGTCCCCTCGTGTCTAGAATTTTCAATCGGTGTAAACCGAGCTTTGGCTATTTTTCTCTTCTCTGCAGCTCAGATGTGCTGATCTTGAATCTCCTCCTTATGACGTCATAAGGAGGAAAGGTTACCTCCCCTTTCTCTGCTTTGCCCGCCCGGAGAATTTGGCTCACCCATGAGAAAATGAGCTAGGAAGTACGAACGCGCGATTAGAGTTTTTCCTCGAGAGATATCATGGCTTGCAAACGAACGAAGCATGGCAGTTGATCAGTGTTCGGATGTACAAATGAACACAAAAGTATTTTTTAGTTCCTTCATGAAGAAACAATGGGTTAATTTTATTTTCTCTGGAAATGCGCTGACACAACTTCCCAAAGTTTTGTATGGTCCAAACATTTCACCGACGACTGTTTCCTCAACTTGGGCCAATACAGAGCTGGCCTCGATGAACGTCTGAAAATAAATCGATCGAGCTACCAAGCAACAATTTCTGATGTGTAGCCTAATTGTTCAAGTTCAGACCAGAGATGGGGACTCGAGTTTGAGACTCGGACTCGAGTGCGACTTAAGTCGCACACACAGTGACTTCAGACTCGACTTGAGACTCGTCCTCGAAAGACTTCAGACTCGACTCAGACTGGAGCTGCGGGACTCGTGAACAATGTTTATTTTTAGGAAACGTCTGATGAGCTCTCTGTTATTCCCCTCCCTCCGACCCGTTACCTAAAACCTGCCTACATAACACTTACTACGTGCGCGTGGCCACACATGAGAGGACAACAAACAAACATGTCGACTGCACCGGCCGCTGCTGTGCCATTCATCGTAAGCTTTGGGTTTAAAAACTTCAAACAAGACGGGCCAAATAAAAGAAGCGCTCAATGCAAAATATGCGGTATCTGCGCGCGTGCACCTCATGGTGTTCCATGAGGGAGAGAGAGCGCGAGAGGTATGGGTGAACGAAAGAGAGAGAGAGAGAGAGAGACGTGCGAGAGGTAGTGCGGCGCGAATGCGCTACGGCGCTCTGCAATCAAATACGATTTTAAATAGGCTTAGTAAAAATAAAATAAAAAATCGAAAATCAATGTGTGGCGGGCCGCCACAAATATATGAACGTATGAGAAACCATGTATTTCACATAATTTGGTTCCAATAGTGTTTTCGATTTAGCTACACTGTGATGTTTTGCACTATGTCAATTTTAGTGCTGTGAGGTAGGCTATAACATTTTCTATATTTGGTCTTATGGCTCCAGCTCCACAGAGCCAGCACAATAGGAGCCAAGGCCTTTCATTATAATTCAGCAACAGACATGAGAGTCCTTTTTCTTCAGAACCTCAATTTTTACAGATGCAGATGTTAACTTAAAAGTAAAGCATTCTTGGTGTTTTTGTCATGTTGAAATAGCCTGTTTACACTGATTATATACCTAAATCAAAGCTGATACTGTATGCTAATAGATAAAGGAGTCATAATAACATTACATGCTTTGAATTCCTTATACATAGCTATGAAGTGTTCTAAGCAGCCTGGATGGGTCGCTGTACGTGATGCAACACTTATTATAACCACAAGAGACTTGAGACTTGACTTGGACTCTAGTTCAGAGACTTGAGACTTGACTTGGACTCTAGTTCAGAGACTCGTGAGCATCTCTGGTTCAGACAGGTAATCTTTCTCTCAAAATCGTTCAATACTGTTTATGACTTATCAGTAAGTCAAGCCAGTGACTAAAATATCAACTTCACATCGTTTCTTTTAGTAGGATGAAAATAATCGTATTTAAATTGTGAACAAATTATATACAGAAAGCGATCAAAGAACAATCTTTCCACACAGTGCGAGTTTATCTGGACACTTGCCAAACTCGTTATGAAATCAATGACGCACGTTACACTGCACAACGAAGCTCTTACTGTATGTACATCATTGTGTTTGCATTGGTTAAAGCATTAGAGAGAGGGCAGAAACTGCATTGCAATGATAAGATCTTTATTCTCGCGATCAACACACTGTCATCTGCTGCTCAATGCTCGTCACGGCAACATTTTATGTGATGGGAATAGATCTAAATACTTTAAAAACTTCTCACAATTCGTTAATCTCGATAGCTGTAATTGTAAACGTATAAGATAGCTGTAGTAAAAGTATTCGAGAGAGTTTGACATGTAATATGTAGCTATTTCATATGTAAGCAAGTCAGCCAATCACAGCAGTGGGCGGTTACACTGAATCCCACAGCAGACACGCCCCTTCAAACAGAGCGTTCAAAATCAGAGGCTAAAATCAGGCTAGGAAAAATGCCTTTTATATCTAAATTATGACTATGTTTGATCTAAAAAACCTACTAACATTATAAGGGCAACCCAGGAAACATTATAAAATAATAAAATAACCCCATGTCAGGGGACCTTTAAAACAGCTTATTATAATGTTTAACTGGATGCAAATGTTTGTTTTTGTGATTAAAATAAATTAAAAATATTACCCTACACTCAAAAAAATGATATGTTGGCTTTACTTAACTTTTTTTTGTAAACAGGTTCCACCGGTTCCACATAACTATGTTTCGTTAAACAAACATAATATGTTCATGTAACTTCAACATCATGGAATTTGGTCATTTTAAGCGATCCAATTAAACTCTGAGCTAATGAGTTAATTAAGTGAATAATTGAGTGATGATTGAGCATTATTGAAGACACCTGATGTTAACAAGCAGAATCTCTGAAGGAGAAAACCGGAATGTTTAAGTCACCATTATGGAGATAAGTATTCGTTTTAGTTGGGCTCTTGACCATTAACTTATTAACTTTAGATTTTGTTTGGTTGCTGTACATGAGTTATAACAGCCGGGTGAACAATAAACAAAGGTCATCTGATGGTATTTGTTGTGTTTTAACATAATAATTATTTCACAATCATTTGACCTGAGTCACTGAACTTATATTAAACCGAATTTCTGAGTTAAGTTTACCTTATGGATAATAACAGCACTGTCATTGTAGAGAATACTATTTTTAGATTTTTCAATGTAATTCAAATGACCAAATCAAGAAATAAAAAAGAAACTTCCTAAAAAATATTTAGAGTAGGCACACACAGACATCAAGAATCAGCATATGAATCTCAGCAATGGTGACAAACAGATCATAAGCTCATTATTTATTCATGCAGCAATGCATGATGGGAGCCATGAATGAGTTTTGATTGGTGGCACCCAGAATGCACTACAACATGCTTTATAATTGTCACCATTGGTGAGATTTACAGGCTGATTCTTGATGTCTGTGTGTGCCTACTGAAGATATTTTTTAGGAAGTTTCTTTTTTATTCATTGATTTGATCATTTGAATTTCATTGAAAAAAAACAAAAAAATAGTATGCTCTACAATGACAGTGCTGTTATTATCCATAAGGTAAACTTAACTCAGAAATTCGGTTTAATATAAGTTCAGTGACTCAGGTCAAATGATTATGAAATAATGATTATGTTAAAACACAACCAATACAATCAGATGACCTTTGTTTATTGTTCATCCGGCTGTTATAACTCATGTACAGCAACCAAACAAAATCTAAAGTTAATAAGTTATTGGTCAAGAGCCCAACTAAAACACACACTTATCTCCATAATGGTGACTTAAACATTCCGGTTTTCTCCTTCAGAGATTCTGCTTGTTAACATCAGGTGTCTTCAATAATGCTCAATCATCACTCAATTATTCACTTAATTAACTCATTAGCTCAGAGTTTAATTGGGTCGCTTAAAATGACCAAATTCCATGATGTTGAAGGTACATGAACATATTATGTTTGTTTAACGAAACATAGTTATGTGGAACCGGTGGAACCTGTTTACAAAAAAAAGTTAAGTAAAGACAACATATCATTTTTTTGAGTGTAACCTCCATCTTCATGTGTGCGGAAATTTGTTTATGTTGCTGTGACAACGCGCAACACGTGCGTTCATAATATTGCATATTTGGCTACATGTGGCTGGCAGCGCAACGATGGAAGACGTTAAAAAGAAGTTGGCCTCAGGAGATTTTAAAACCACCGAAAATGAAGGAAAGTCTACTGTGTGGAAGTTTTTCAACATAGTTGTCAAGGCCGATAGTGATGAACATGTTGGTTATGTTTAATATAAGAGTTGTGGATTTCTCATGAAATATGACAGCAAGAGGACCGGGAATTCCGCCCTGCAGCGTCATGTGGATAGAGTTTGTAAGTCACCTGGGCTATAGTCTCAGCCTCAGACGTCACGCCCACGGAACGTTGGCTAAACGTCTGATGCATATGGTACACTTAACTGGAAACACTTCAGGAATGTCGAAGTCGTCATCTGATTGGTTGAATTTTATCGGATTTCCGGGGGGTGCGAGTGTCGCGTTTATTTTCGGTCTGCCGGGAAACAAAGCGCAGACGTGTGATTGCGGAAGAAAAACTGTTGTGTTTACATGAGTGACAATGAGCATTTATCAAGATCAGCTAAACGTAGGATTCTCAAAAGTATGCGAGGTTCACGGCGTAGACTCTTTAAGAGATGTCCAGGAGTTTTGTTTGAGGCACTTAGTGGAGACAAAAAGAGATATTTTAGCCTGTTTGCCGACGGGATTTGGGAAGAGTATTATTTTCCAAGCCTGGCCGACCCTTTGTCAGCATTTATAAGGATTCCCAGCAGATCCAACTTTACTAGTTGTGTGTCCCCTCCTATCTATTACATAGCTGTCAACCCTCCCGTTTTTTCCGGGTTTCTTTTAGCTCTTTTCCCGCTGTCTTCCCGTTTTATTATTTTCCCGTAAAATATCCCGTATTTTTACGCTCTGATTGTGTGAGACGTACATGCTCGCTCGGGCAGATTCGGCTTGAAGTCGTTCATCCTCGGATGCGGCGCCGCGCGCGCTGTTACAAAAAAAGCTGTGCACACAGCCAAGCGAAATGGGGTCTTGCCGGTCTTGCGCACCCAACGCGTAATCTTTGCCGCGCTCGTGCGGACGCGTCAAGTATAAACAATTATACTCCGTGTCAGCGCGCGCTTTGATCGGTAAAGGAGCACAGACCTCTCCCTAATCATCTCCAGCAGCCCCCGAAGCACCACGTACACTGTAAAAAATAATTGCCATTTCAACTTTTTTTTTTTTGTAGACACAACTAAATTTGTAGAAATTGTCCAGACAACAAGAACATTTAAGTTTAATTGTCCTCAACTAAGCTAAAAGTGGAATTAACTAGTATAACTGTTGTTTCAACTAGAAAACGCATGTTGATACAATTGCACATACACCATATATTGTAGGGCTGGGCGATATATCGCACGATATTGTTATGCGCGTCTCTTCAGTAAAGCCGGTTCTTTGATTAGTAGTAAATCGCCTTCACCTGCTTTCAGATGGAAGATATGATGCAGATATGAGTGTTAAAGTTAATGAGATAATTAAGTGATTAATTTAGTGATCATTGAGCATTATTGAAGACACCTGATGTTAACAAGCAGAATCACTGAAGGAGAAAATCTAAAATTGTAAGCCACCGTTATGGCGATCAGTGTTTGCTTTAGTTGGGCTCTTGATCCTTATACTTTGAGTTTAAATTTAGTTTGTCTGCTGTTATTGATTTATAACAGTCAAATTAACAAAAACAAGTGTGATCTGATAGTGTTGGTTATGTTTTGACATAATCATGCGGTGATCTGAAAAATGAAACTCATTCAGATGATCTTGTTTAATTTGATAGCAACAGTTTAGTGGTCCTACAGCATATGATAATCGTATGTTTCTTAAAATCCAAACCATTTAATTTTATTTTTATAAAATAACCATTTAATAAAAATTGTTCTGATCAAATCACTTTCAAATGCATTTATTTAGAAACGCAGACATCAATAATCAGCCTGTGAATCTCAACCGTGGTGACAATAATAATCCTTGTTGCCACCAATCACAACTCATTAATGGCTCCCATCATGCATTGCGGTATGAATAAATTATGATCTGAATTGTCTATGTAATTTACTTTTCCTAATTGAATATTCTGTTCATCACCATTGTTGAGATGCATTAACTGAATCTTGATATCTGTGTCTGCCTAAAACAAAGATTTTTTTTTTTTTTTTTTTTACAACTTTTAAGAAATCTTTTATATTATATCACAAATTCTGGATATTTATGCAGAATCTCAGTTATGCTGTAACCAACAGCATTAATCACAAACATTTAGCTCAAATGATGAATGTCATAATATAATCAATACCATTAGATCATTGTTATTCTTTGTTCATCTGGCAGGTATGACTCGGATACAACAGCTGAACACAAACTAAAGTTAATAATATAAGGGTCAAGAGCCCAACTAAAGCAAACACTCATCTCCATAATGGTGACCTGAAATTCCGGTTTTCTTCTTCAGTGATTCTGCTTTAGGTGTCTTCAATAATGCTCAATCATCACTCAATTAATCACTTAAATATCTCATTAACTTTAACACTCTTGAGTGTGGACTCATATACACTCCCAGGTGTGTTCATTTAACACTGGAGTTTTTGCTGTGTAAAGAGCCGTAGTTAACTGACAAGCTGAGCCATATCGCATTAAATATCGCTGGCGATACGTCCGCGATATTAGTGCGATTTGGCTCAGCTTGTCAGTTAACTACGGCTCTTTGTAGTAAATGCCGCTCCATCTGAAAGCAGGTGAAGGCGATTTACTACTAATCAAGGAACCGGCTTTACTGACGAGATGCGCATAACAATATCGTGCGATATATCGCCCAGCCCTAAGTCAAGTTGACAAAAAAATTTAAGGCAGCGGGGTAACAAAGTTTTTTAAGTTGACTCAACAAATTGTTTTTTACAGTGTACCGTTTCCCTCGTAAGCTGATATTAGCTATTTAAACATTCTCTGATAAAAAATGTTTAAAAAAACATGTGAAGGGGATATCAGCCGCGTTTGCGGGCAAACATGAAACAACAGACGCTGACATCGCAGCTGGCCGATTCAGTATTGTGTTCGGTTTTCTTCTCCTCCTTTGATTTTCTATGCTGACTGACTTGTTGCACACCGGTCTGTTGTTGTGGGGACATTTCCACGTGACGCTGAACGAAACGAACTGTAATTGGTTGTTTGACATGTCGGTCAAACGGCCTTATGGGCGGGCCTTGGCCAAAGAAAGCTGCTATGAGTTCCAGACCTTCAGCTGAAGGTCTGGCTACGCGAGACTACCTGGGCTACTGCAGCCGAGCATCACTGCCTGTGCTAGTTCCTCAAGAAAAATTCCTCAGCGGGCCAAACAAAAACTGACTGAAAAGTGCGTTGAGTACTGCTGTAAAGACATTAGGCCATTTTGTTCCATTGAAGGAGGGGGTTTCATTGAGCTGGCCCAGCAGCTTATTAACATCGGTGCTAGATATGGTTCAGTGGCAGCGCAGGATGTACTGCCTGATCCCACCACTGTGTCAAAACGGTGCCGTGAGCTGGCAATCGAACCCAGCTTTCATTCCTGAGATACATGATCTTCTCACCACACTTTACTCAACCCCAGGAAATATCATCATACTTGGTGTTTTTAATATCCATGTGAATGATCCCCAATCCTGCTCGGTAGCTGAATTCACTAATCTTCTTGACAGTCTCAATTTCATTCAACACGTCGATGTCCCAACACATTCCAGAGGACATACTCTTGATTTGTTGATCACCAATTCCATCTTTATCAGCAATCTCTCAGTGCACGATCTGGGTGTGTCCGATCATATGGCCATTTCAATGGAGTGTCCCATCTTGTCCCCCCTCACTAAGTCTAGCAGACAAATCAGTTTCAGGAACTTTAAAAACATCAACCCACTCACCCTGACTATCGACCTCCATCATCTCTCTGCTGCTAGCCCCCTTTCAGTCATTGAATCTGTGGATCTTTACAATTTGTCACTTAGCACCCTCCTGGACCGTCATGCCCCAGTCAAGTCCAGAACCATCACCTTCAAACACTCAGCCAGGATATACCAGGGAGCTGCGGCTGCAGAAGAGAACAGGGCGTGTCCTTGAACGGCGTTTCAGAGACTCAGGGCTTGCTGTTCACAAGCTAGCGTACCGGGAACATCAGAGGGCCCATAGCAAGTCCCTCAGTGATACCCGGTCCCGGTTCTACTCCCACATAATCAACAATAGCCCTGGTAACTCTAAGCAACTTTTCACAACCATAAATCATCTCCTCAAACCTCAGATCCCCCTATGCTCAGAGAACTTGCAGGAGCGTTGCAATACCTTCATCTCCTTTTTCAAAACAAAAGTTGAAAAGATCCGTTCCCTTCTCTCCAGCCCCCCTGCCCTCCAGTCCCCCGCTGTATCTGCTACCTCGCACCCGCTCCCTTTTCTCCCTAGCCCCTCTGATCCTACAGTTACATCCACTGACCATCAATCTGGGACTACACAGCCCCTCTGCCGTTTTACGGATATCACTCAGCATGACATCGAAGAACTGCTAAGGAAGATGAAGCCCTCCACCTGTGACCTGGACCCATTTCCCTCAGCCCTGATAAAAATCCATTCCTCTGCAATAAGTCCCATGATCACCAAAATCATCAATCAGTCTCTCCGATCTGGCCATGTCCCTAAGTCTCTGAAAACCGCAGTCATCAAGCCAATACTCAAAAAGCCCTGCCTTAACCCCGAAGTACCTGCCAACTACCGCCCCATCTCCAACCTCCCTTTTCTGTCAAAGGTGCTGGAAAAGGTAGTTGCTGCTCAACTCCACAATCATCTCATAACAAACAGTCTTTATGAGAAGTTCCAGTCTGGTTTTCGCTCTGGCCACAGTACGGAAACTGCCTTGGTCAGGGTCACCAATGACCTGCTGATGACGGCTGATGCTGGCTCCCCATCACTTCTCATCCTTCTCGATCTCACCGCAGCATTTGATACTGTGGACCACCATATTCTTTTACACCGCCTCCACTCCTCCATTGGACTCTCTGATACTGCTCTGGCCTGGTTTACATCATATCTCACGGACAGAACTGAGTATGTAGCCCTGGGTGCTGCTAAATCGGACACACACTCTGTCACTTGTGGTGTCCCTCAAGGATCAGTCCTTGGCCCCACCCTCTTCACGTTGTACATGCTCCCCCTTGGTCATGTCATCAGCCGGCATGGAATATCTTTCCATTGCTACGCTGATGACACCCAAATTTACATCAAAACAAACCCAAACTCCTCTGCAGCCCCTTCCACACTTTCCACCTGCCTGGAGGAGATAAAGACGTGGATGGCTGCTAACTTTCTACAACTCAACAGCTCAAAAACGGAAGCCATTCTTGTTGGCACCCCGCACCAGACCCGGTCATCCACCATCACCAGCATCACCTTCTCTGGTCACAAACCTTGGTATCAGAATTAGGGCTGGGCGATATATCGCACGATATTGTTATGCGCATCTCGTCAGTAAAGCCGGTTCCTTGATTAGTAGTAAATCGCCTTCACCTGCTTTCAGATGGAGCGGCATTTACTACAAAGAGCCGTAGTTAACTGACAAGCTGAGCCATATCGCACTAATATCGCGGACGTATCGCCAGCGATATTTAATGCGATATGGCTCAGCTTGTCAGTTAACTACGGCTCTTTGTCACAGCAAAAACTCCAGTGTTAAATTAACACTCCTGGGAGTGTCTATGAGTCTACACTCAAGAGTGTTAAAGTTAATGAGATAATAAGTGATTAATTGAGTGATGATTGAGTATTATTGAAGACACCTAAAGCAGAATCACTGAAGGAGAAAATCTAAAATTGTAAGCCACCGTTATGGCGATCATTGTTTGCTTTAGTTGGGCTCTTGACCCTTAGATTAATAATTTTAGATATTGTTGGTTGTTGTTTCTGAGTTATAATTGCCAGATGAACAAAGAAAAAAAGTGATCTAATGATGTTGGTTATATTATGACAATCATCATTTGATCTTTATGTTTGTGATTTATGCTGTTGGTTACAGCATAACTGTGATTCTGCATAAATATCCAGAATTTTATATATTAATATAAAGGATTTCTTTAAAGTTGTTTTAAAAAAAAAAAATCTTTCTATTAGGCACACACAGACATCAAGATTGAGTCAATGCATCTCAACAATGGTGACGAGCAGAATATTCAATTAGGAAAAGTAAATTACATAGACAATTCAGATCATAATTTATTCATACCGCAATGCATGATGGGAGCCATTAATGAGTTGTGATTGGTGGCAGCCACAGCAACATGCATTATTATTGATGTCTGTGTTTCTAAATAAATTCATATGGAAGTGTTTTGATCAGAACAATGATTATTAAATATTTTTGGATTAGAAGAAAAATACTGATATTCGTACGCTGTAGAATCATAAAACTGTTAATAATAAGTTAGCCAAACTATCTCAATAAGTTTCATTTTTCAGATCACAGCATGATTATGCCAAAACATAACCAACACTATCAGATCACACTTTTATTTGTTCACTTGACTGTTATAAATCAATAACAGCAGACAAACAAAATTTAAAGAAGAAAGTATAAGGGTCAAGAGTCCAACTAAAGCAAACACTGATCGCCATAACGGTGGCTTACAATTTGTGATTTTCTCCTTCAGTGATTCTGCTTGTTAACATCAGGTGTCTTCAATAATGCTCAATCATCACTACATTAATCACTTAATTATCTCATTAACTTTAACACTCTTGAGTGTTAATTTAACACTCATATCTGCATCATATCTTCCATCTGAAAGCAGGTGAAGGTGATTTACTACTAATCAAAGAACCGGCTTTACTGAAGAGATGCGCATAACATATCGTGCGATATATCGCCCAGCCCTAATTTCTGTTAAAGTTTTTTGCACTTTATTTAAATTAGGATATTTTACTTTTTACTTTTACTTTTTATTTGGCAGCTGTAGCTGACAGTCATTGACCATTTTTTTAAGATTTTATTTTTTACAGTGTGTGTTTATCCAAATTATCTTAGTTTGCTTCTAGCATTTATAAGCCTGTGTTTCAGTTCTCATTAGTCGGTTCTCATTAACGTTTTGTGCTTGGTTATCGTTAATCCTTTGTCAATAAAGTCTTTTCCATTTATCTTTTTCGTCTTTTCGTTTACCGCTGCTAAACCGTGACAATAATCATGACAGAGTCTCTGGACTTTTATTTCAATAATATTATATTTTCTGCAAGTGGAGTTTTAAAAAACTATATATTTGTAAGATCTGAAGTAATTAACTACAAGTGCATTCAATTAATGACACTTCTTTTTCACGAGGGACTATGTGTGAACTTTCCAGGTGTTTGGATGATAAAACATCTGCATGTTGAGAAGATTTGAGGAAAAGCAGTTCAAAGGCTACGAGTAAATTGACTATTATATTTAACTTTTGGCTGTTAGTGACACTGAAACTTCACAAGGACTCTTAAAGGAGAACTCCGGGCAATTTTTAAGTTAATCTTGATCGTTAGACCTTTGTGAGTACTGACTATAGGAAAAAAAAAACGAACCGGATTGGTGCTTGCTACGCGGAGCTGCGACCGCGAATGCCCAGAGCTCCCACCCAGCTAAAACGGCAGCTATGGGGGCATCGACATAAAGAGCGTTTTTGAGCCTCTTAACAGACACAAAATGCAATTAAAATGTCTGTCCAACATGAACAGGGACCCTACATGTGAACAAGATGCGTTTAGCAACTTAGCCATTGTTTCAACTCACCTAAATAGTCTTTTAGACGGCAAGCTGTAGTCTCGCGCAGAATGGACCCTCACTTGACCTTTGAGGCCCAGATTAAATATCTTTGTAAAACCTCCTTCTTTCATCTCAGGAACATTGCAAAACTCCGCCCAATGCTCACTTTCCCCGATGCAGAAAAACTTGTCCACGCCTTTGTTTCCTCCAGGCTGGACTATTGCAATGCACTCCTCATCGGGATCATATACACTCCCAGGTGTGTTCATTTAACACTGGAGTTTTTGCTGTGTAAAGAGCCGTAGTTAACTGACAAGCTGAGCCATATCGCATTAAATATCGCTGGCGATACGTCCGCGATATTAGTGCGAGTTGGCTCAGCTTGTCAGTTAACTACGGCTCTTTGTAGTAATTGCCGCTCCATCTGAAAGCAGGTGAAGGCGATTTACTACTAATCAAGGAACCGGCTTTACTGACGAGATGCGCATAACAATATCGTGCGATATATCGCCCAGCCCTACCCTAGACCCCACACAATTGGCCCAAGATGCTCCAACTGTTGCAGACACTCTGCAAGCTACCAAGGCACTGGTCAAATATGTCAAAAAGTCGGGCATGGCAGCTTTGCTGTCAAAAACAGTCATCCAAATGGCAGACACGAGGTTTAGCACGATATATCTGACCTTAAATTCTGTCCGCTCGGTTTATCAAGAACTACGCGAAAAACTAAATGATCGTGCAGAGGGCTGGCGGATCGATACCATATCTCCAGATGTCCTTGACTT